GGGGTCCAGTGATGGTTTTTCAACAGCGGTTTTATTATAGCTTGTTTTAAGCTCGCTGGAATGATGCCTTCCCGAAGGGAGGCATTAACCACCACCTTCACCCACTCGGCCAATCCCCCTCTGGCTTCCTTCAGAGCCAGGATGGACAGGGGTCCAGGATGCATGTGGTAGGCCTCATTCCTCCAAGTATCTTGTCCACATCCTCGGGCTTCACCAATTGAAATGAATCCAATAAAACTGGACAAGCAGATGCTCCAGCTACATCCTCATCTACTGCCGTTAATATGGTGTCCAGACCAGAACGGATCAAAGCGACTTTGTCTGCAAAGAACCGAGCAAAAGCATCACAGCGGGCTGCCGGGTTGTCAGGGCTCCCGTCTTGAGCGACGGGATTTAAAAGGCCTCTGACAACTCGAAACAGCTCAGCCGGTCGGTTCTTTGCAGATGCAATAGTGGCCGCGAAGAAAGATTTCTTCGCGGCCTTTATTGCCGCGGCATATGCCCTTAAAAAGGACACAAACCGTGTTCGGTTTGGCTCGCTCGGATCAGAACGCCACACGCTCTCTAGTTCCCTCTTCTTTCGCTTCATCACTGCCAACTCCTCGTTGAACCAAGGAGCTGGTTTAGCTCGGCTACTTGAGAGGGGACGTTCCGGAGCAATCGTGTCTATTGCCCTAGTCATCTCCCTGTTCCAGAGAGAGACCAGGGCATCAACAGAATCACCAACCGAGGAGGCGGGAAATTCCCCAAGAGCCGTCAGGAATCCATCCGGATCCATAAGCCTCCTGGGGCGGACCAGCTTAATGGGTCCCCCACCTCTGCAGAGGTTAGGAGGTACAGTAAGTCTAAATCTGACCAGGTGGTGGTCGGTCCATGGCAACGGAGAGATGGACAACTCCTCGACACCGCCACCATGCTCCCATCCCTGACAAAAGACCAAATCCAATGTGTGTCCAGCACAGTGGGTGGGGCCAGATACCCATTGGGACAGCCCCATGGTTGCCATGGAAGACATGAAGTCCTGAGCCGCTCCTACTAGGGTAGCCTCGGCATGTATATTGAAGTCCCCCAGCACAAGAAGCCGTTGGGACTCCAATGCCAAGCTCGAGACCACCCCTGCTAGCTCAGGTAGGGAGACCGTAGTGCAGCGAGGTGGGCGGTACACTAACAGAATCCCTATTCTGTCCCGGTCACCCACTCTCAGATGGACACATTCAAAATTGGTTGACTGCGGGATGGGGCCCCTGGTCAGAGGGATAGTATTTCTATAGACCACTGCAACCCCGCCTCCCCGCCCTCCGGATCTTGATTGGTGCTGCACGGAGAAGCCTGGTGGACAAAGCTGGGTCAAATTTACCCCTCCAGCTTCGTCCAACCAGGTCTCCGTGATGCACGCCAGATCTTCCCGTTCCTCCAAAATTATGTCTTGAATGAAAGATGTTTTTCCGTTGACAGATCTGGCGTTCAACAGCACCATCTTCAATCCAGAGGGACCGCCATCCTGGGTACACCAACTTACCTTGTCAGGAGACCGATTACAAATTATTAAATTTCTTCTTTTATCTCTAGGCCGAATTTGAGTTGTCAAATTTCCTCTATCTCTAGGCCGAATTGGCGGTCTCCCTTTCCTGCATCTCCCCCTCCCCGTTATAGTTTCTATGGGGATCCCTCGGCCGTTGGAACATCCCTCTTCTACCATATTGCACTTCACCCTCATAGCTTCTTCCCATAGTTCATCTCAGATTAATTGCTCTGTTAGTTTTCCCTCTTGCCACCCTACTCCTTTCCAATCCTTTCCCACCCCTGCATTGTTATTTTTGGGATCTTCCCACCCGCTCCACCCCCTGTTTCCCTCCCAATCCACCAACAGAACTGTTAGTAGGTACCAAGGGATGAGGATCGACATGAGTGGCAGCGTTGATACTACGTTGGTGCTAGTCCCTACAACTTAAGTGCCAGCAGGTATTAAAGTGCAAGATGCTGAGGCTATTAAAGTGCACTAGATATTATCACACAGTTAATGAGCTAAACTGCTGTGGTAGAGGGTTAAGGGATAAAGTGCAAGGAGCTTAAAGTGCAAGGAATTTAAAATGCAGATGGTAACCAATAGTTAAAGTGCCGGCAGTTAGGAGACTTAGCAGCGTTGGCCCAAATAGATGTACTAACAGTGCAAAACAGTGCAAATTTTGTTTGTTCAGTCTACAGTCTTAACTTGGTTCACACGCCAGATTTTTAGGGAGTATTGGTAGGATTGCTACAATGAGTACAGAGTCTGATAATGAATTAGTTGATGTTTCTTTCCGGGATTAGAGGCGGATAACATGGTAGATGACAATTCAATACGATACAATGATGGCGGCCGTTGGCAAATCTCGTAACAGCAGTTATGTAGAGATTCCTGCCAACCAGCAATGGCCAAGGAGCCCTGAGATGGTAATATCGCTCAGGCAGCGGTGGGTGTGCAGGGGGGACAGCCGGTCGCTCCCGAACCTCCGCCAAGAGTGGAAATGCGGAGGCGGCGTCAGTTGGCACCGGGGACGCGGAGGAGCCAGGCCGCTCCCAAGTTCCGACAAGGGCCTCTGACAACGATGGGAATTTAGTGGAGGTGCCAACTGCAAGGCCACAACAACTGCTGGGCCACGCCTGGACCTCCGCCAGATGGCGGCGCGGAGGGGGTGCAGCAGGGTGCAAGGTCGAAGAGAAGCTGGTTAGAGACACCTCCGCTGATGAGCTTCCTGCTCAATAGGAAGTCCTCCACACAGTGGCAGCCCGAGTCCTCCAAACAATGGTGGCCAAGGTCCTCCAAGCAATGGCGGCCAGGCCAACACCCGGTACCAAGGCCCTCTCAGTAGTTCTCGGAAGCTCTCCTAGCAGAGAGTAGGCCCCCGCTCAATCCCTCCGCAGCGCACGCCACTAGCTGCCAGGAGATGCAGGGGGGACGCCAGCGCCGAGGGCAGAAGGAACAGCCAAAGCGCCGAAGAGGGGACGCCGGCGAAACGCCAAGCGAACGAAGAACGAAGATCCCAAGCGGCAAGGAGAAGAGCGGTCCCCCGACCGGGAGCAGCAACAGCAACGCGGCGACCAAGACCCCGCAGCAGCGCGGCGGTAGCGTGGCCAGCTGCGGAAGCCGGAGGCAGCAGGCAGCAAGGCCCGGCCAGCTGGAGACGGAGCCGGAGCAGCAGCAAGGGGCAGACGAGGCAGCCCACCGGTAGGTTTTTAATCCAGTCCGAGGTTTGGATGAGCGATTAGGTGGCCAGGCAGCGAATTAGGCGGTCAGGCAGCAGTAGTCAGCCGGCTAGGAGGGAACGCTCTTGCAAGGCCAAAGATGGAAGTGGCCTCGGCGTTCTACCTCTCCTCCTTCTCCCTCTTAACTCCCCCTTCTTTAAATGGAGACTCACCAAAAAGACCACCTGAGAGCTCCTTCGAACCCTCAGTTGCCAATGGTAACGGTTGGTAGTTGGGGGAGATCTGGATGAAAGGGATTAGGGTTAGATTGAAGAGTCTCACCGGACCGCTCCGCAAGTCAGCTGTTACCTCTCCGCCATCATACCGGAAATCCAAGTTCCTTTAAGGTCCCAGAGGATAAGGGGTTGTTGATATCACCTCAAGGGGCCCTGGTGATGCGTTATGAATGAATGATTTGAACAAACAGGCATCAATGTTTGTGTTAATGTTACTCTGTTGTGAATTGCATTTCATTTTATAATTGACTGACCATCTGTAGTTGCTGTGGAAATATCTGAATTATTCAGGTTCCACCACTTTAAATAGGCGACAATTTATAATGTGATATTATATGGGACTCTCAGTTAATCCCATGTATTTCTCTGGTAATGTAAGCTCATTTTCACTGTTCTTTTGTTGTTAAGCTGGTCTAGTTTGTAGCTGTTTGAGAATTGGGGCTCCAGAACTTGGCTGTCTGCTGAAAATATAGTTGATCAAATAAATCTGTGCCTTAGGTTCAGATGTGGGCAATTACTAGGTGTTGAAGGGCTGTGTTGGCCTCCAGTGGGAATTCATGAGCCAAAATCCACATAAGTGTCCCCAGCTCTGATTTTTCAACAATTAAAAAATTCCCTCTGATGTTCTTAGGAAATAAACTTGGAAATAAACGAGTTGGGTGGCTTGGGGCATTCAAAAATGTCCATATAAGGCCACAGTTTACCTAACCTACTCTAGTTTGGCATACCTTAGGAAAGAATTGTAGAAACGTACGTACAAATTGAGGCTTTGGACTGTCAAATTGATGGACAAGAAAGGATAAATCAAATTGAATGCTGAACTTGGAGGAAGCAGAGGATTTGATGGGACAATCTCTGCTTTTGAAACATCCTAAAATATGCTCTGCGGGACTGTAAAAACCGCCATAGATAATCTGGGTTTCTTAGTAGGGCAAGAATTAGTACCATTGTGATGGTACCACAACAGCAGTGTAATGATGGATTTAGGTCAATAGAAATAATTTTTCAAAATTTTGAAAAAAAATTCCATAAAATGTTTTTGTTGGAACTGAAAATGATTAGTTTATGTTTTTAAATCAGGCAATCGCTTTCCCCATTTATATTGACCAACTATATCAGGATTGCTATAGTGCAACTTGTGGGCCAGATGTGTCCCCAGGAACTGTTTCCGTACCTCCTAGGGGTCAAAAATACTGAGAGCTCTGTTCACCACCTATTTGCCTCTATGAACAACTTAGGCTCAAGGGAGACCTTTTGTGAACTTTGTCACTATGTGTTCTAAAGAAAGGTCTTTCCTGGGCCTAAAATCACCAGGGGGACCTAAAACATGGCTAAAATGCAACACCTACAGATTGTTATATAGCAATTTATGGGAAGACACAGTGGGGAGCATGCTTCCAAAGTTTCCTTGGGGCCTAATGCAGCACCCTTGCAGCACAGTTGCCCACCCTAAATATATGTTCCCTTTGTTCTCTACCAGAAGTTGATGTGGTATTTGGTCATTAACATGTATCTTTTCTTATTTGGACTTTCTTGCAGATTGGACAACTTGCATTCCAAGGTATGAAAAGATTAAATCGAATCCAGTCAATTGTTTTTGAAACCGCCTACAATACAAATGAGAACATGCTAATCTGTGCACCTACTGGGGCAGGGAAAACTAACATTGCCATGTTAACTGTTCTACATGAAATCCGGCAGCATGTTCACCAGGGAGTTATCAAAAAGGATGAATTTAAGGTAGGAACTGCTTTACATGTTGTAAGATAGATTGTGCCAGAATCCAGCAAATTTGCATGGATTCAAGAAGTTCTCAAGGACATTGTGTTTTCCCCAAGTCTTGTGATGATGAAGCCTGTTGATTTATTTCGTTGCAGGCATGCAGTATTTTTTTCTCAGTTCAGAAAATCTTACTACCCATGTGAAAACCTCTAAAATATACTTAGCTTTGATATGGAACCAATTTTCCAAATGATAAGCATGTACTACTGTATATCAGAAACTCTTTTCTTTTGTGTTATTTTTAAAATAGCCACACACTTATCTAACACTAGTAGCTACTTTCCATATACTACTTTTAAGGTCTTTCTCCCCTGCTTGCCATAAATGCTAGGGATCATATTTCAAAATAAATTGTGATTTGTATCAGTTGCTGTGAAATCCACAGTTTTGTACACGTTGCTCATTTATCAAACTGGTGTTCTTTCTGTGCAGATTGTTTATGTCGCTCCTATGAAGGCCTTGGCAGCTGAAATGACAAATTACTTCAGCAAGCGTCTGGAGCCACTAGGCATCACGGTAAAGGAGCTGACTGGTGATATGCAGTTGTCGAAAAGTGAAATTCTGCGGACGCAGGTATGCTATATGGCAGACATAAATAGATGCATCACTACAATGATGTAACAGTTCAGTGCAAGAAAATAACAAAAGTATGCCTTGTTAACTACTTTAATATTGATGTTTCTACAAAAATTGTGGGTGAACTGACCATTGACGCAGGGCACTAGTCAGCACAGTTATTGCCTCCTATGAACTGAGAACATACATGCTTCTTGAATGTTGCATAGAGAATTTATGGTTCCTGATCTCCCAGTGCTGGTTGAAGCTCAGAAGGAATGAGTATTGTATGTGAGTCCTCTTTTCCCACTATAGCAGTGGTTCTCAACCCGTGGGTCCCCAGGTGTTTTGGCCTACAACTCCTAGAAATCCCAGCCAATTTACCAGCTGTTAGGATTTCTGGCAGTTGAAGGCCAAAACATCAGGGACTCAAGGGTTGAGAACCACTGCACTATAGGCCTGGAGCTCTAGTGTTTTAAGTCTGTATAATATATTGGCTCTGAAACTCACTGCAAATTGGATGACCTCTGAATTAAATAATATTTTCAGTGAAGTTCATTGGTGGTCTTAGAAAAGCCGTAGGCCCCATCTACTCTGACAGTGTACTATTGTTAGGGATTCCTCATCTTTGGAAGAGGAAGGGGAGCAGGGAAGTGCTCAGGAATTGGAGGGAGAAGAAGAATCAGACGATGAGGTTTTGAAAGTGCCCACATTTCTAGAGAGACAAAAAGAGACAGAGCACAGACGGTGTTCAGCTAGAATAGCTACTAAAAATGCTGGGCTAACTGGAAGATGCCCTAGCACCTCCTGCGTGGGGAATTCAGGGCTATAAATCAGAAGCAGGAGCAGTCAGCTTTTGCTGGTAATAACGACCCTGATATTGATGTTTTCACTCCAATGGAACCCACTTTGTGTCTGCTGCTAAGGACTTAGTGATCTTTTGCCTGTTGTCTGATGGAAGACTGCTGTTTCTTTTGGGTCTTTGTAAGAGACTTTAATTTGTGTCTGGATTAAGACTTCTTTGCTTTCTTTTGCACTTTTCAATGGAATTTGCTTATCCTTTGTGTCTGCTGAAGTAAAGCATTTTTCTTTTACTTTCAATGTTGCATTAAGGCTGTTTTTGAAGGGCAACTCAGGACAACTATTGCTTCAATAAATTGTGGCAGCTACAAAACATGTCATCAATGCATGCTGAGGTGCATTTAATAGTATACACACATTTAAAAGTATCAGGAAAGTCAAAGTTCAGCCAAATAATGGACTGGAGCAGATACCAATGTATTCTAGATCCAGGGCAAAATCATCTTTTTTTTCACCCCTTCCCAACCCATACCTCCAGAATGTTGATGCACATTTTCTCCCCAAAATCAAAATAAAACAAAACTGCAGAATGGTTTGAAACTAGATTCGGTGGCTAATGTAATCATTCACCTGGCCTCAAACCAGTTCTATACCTATCAGTCTAACCACCCACACAACAAAATCTTTAATTTTCACATGTACTATGGAGATAAGAATACTGGTTTACCTAATGGGTTGTTGTAAGAATTGCAACAGTGCAATACACATGTTGTACAATGAGACTCCCAAATGTGCTGTTTTAAATTTTTATTTTTTATTTGATCCAGAGGCCTTTGGAACCAGTTTTAGGGGGTTTGGTTTATAAAAACAACCAATCCCACATGTATAAAAAGAAGGTGCCCCACAACACATAACACAACAAATGTGTTTATTTATTTATTTAGACCATTTCTACCCCGCCCTTCTCACCCCCGAGGGGGGACTCAGGGCGGCTAACACATTTTTTTTATAACAGCACTGTGCAGCTTTATTAAATTACTTGGATACAGTAATATCTGAAGACTTACAGTTTCTGAAGTGTAACAGATTCAGCATGAACTTTACACTACATATTCCGTTCACAAAACAAAAGGAGTTACCTGATTAGATGAGCTGAGAGTCAAAATACATTGACCACTTTATGCCCTTTTATGCATTCAGGAAATCTTCAAGCACAGTCTCTTTGTGTATTTTCTTGCCAAATGTTAAGGAAGCTTGGTAGGAGAATTAGCTTCCAGAAGCTCATTTATAGAAGTTTTCTGTAAAGATCTGGGCAATTGCAGCATTAATGTCTGATTTAACAAGATTTGTAGTAGGCACACTTACGAGACAGATGTTGATGTGGTTTATTATGTTATTGTATCATATAAACTGAGTTGGAGACCTCAATAAATCTTTAATGAGAGTCAGTAGCATGGCTCATACACATTAGTTTACTATTTTCCAAAAATACACCTAGTTTATTTCATTGAAGTGGGCACTTCTCTATTTGCAATGTTTGTGTCTCTTTGGTAATAGCTTCGGGGGCTGAACAGAATGATAACTGAAAAAATCAGTGATTGATTGCCCTTACAATGTAGGAGTTAAGATCAAAGCAGACAATGTATGAGTGTCAGTGCTGACTAGGACAAGCAGTGCTCATGGTCGCAAATGGTATCAGGGCCTTCTGATTTGTCAATGAACAGCCTGATGAGTTTTGTCAGCTGATGGACTTCAAAAACATGAGCCATGGTAGCTTTACTTCCCAATCATTCCTAATAGAAGAAGGAAAAAATACTCCCCCCCCCCCTATATAATTTATGAGTGTAAATGGAACTGTGCAGTTCTGAAGTTCTTTCAAAAGTTCTGTGGTATCTTTATATACTAACACTATTTCATTATATAATATATTCAAATAAGCTGAAACACAGAGATTCAAGGTTTCAAACTTGGGACATGTGTGATCAGTAGAATCATGCCCTAAATCAGAGTAAGTTTAGTTTTGCTCATTCTTGGCTCAAGTAGCACAATACTGTGGCTCAAGTAGCACAATAAGTTATCTCTGGCAGTAGAAGCTTCCTCATACAGGACAGGATTATCCAAAACATCTGTAAATAGCAATAGAATCTATAATGATAACAGAATATCATCATCATCTGGAAAAGAAGATAGTACTGATAGTTGTTCCAGGAGAAATTCCCAGTGGGTCCACAAACTATGTGAATGGGTTTCCAATAGACAGATTAACACAGTTAGAAAAAGTCACAAATCCTAGGTTCTTAGGTAGCAACTGAATAATTGATTCTTGAGAACTCCAGTGTGGTAGATTGTGAAACTGAGATAAGGGTAGAATCTGTAATAGTCTATCATAATAAAAACTGGACATAATACAAATGTATAAATTGTTCCTCTTTGTTTATTTCTTTTTAAAAATTGGAGGCTTGGTTGCTGTTGGTTGAATTGCTTGTATCTATTTTGTCTGTTTTTGTGTGACTGCTTGAAAGTTTTAATATGTTGCTAATGTACTCCTGGTTTCTCACAATCATCATAGGCTATCACTCATGGGCATTTGTATGATTGTCTTCCAAGGACAGAGTTTTGATGGTGGGTTCGTAAGTGACACAAGAGACCTATTCTGGATCCGCATAGTCTTTCACAATGAGGACATAGATTTCCAGATGGAAGGCAGTCCTGACAAGGGTCTGCGTGACATGCTTTCCTCTTGGCATGTTTCTCCCCTTTGCTCTCTATTCACACCTCTTTAAAATCCATAGCAGTGTTAGAAACAACTGACATCCAGTTAGAGCACTTGAGGGCCAGAGATTCCCAGTTCTCAGTGTTTATTCTACATTTTTTTAAGGTTAGCTTTAAGCCCATCTTTAAATCTTTTTTGATGTCCACCGACATTCCGTTTTCTATTCCTGAGTGGAGAGTAACTATTTTGGGAGATGGTGATTGGGCATTTAGACAACGTGGCCAGTCCTGTGAATTTGATGACAGAGAATTGTTGCTTCAGTCCAGGTAGTTTTAGCTGCTTCCAGAATGCTGATGTTTGTTTGCCTGTCTTCTGAAGAGATTTGCAGGAGTTTTCAAAGGCAACATTGATTAAATTGTTCCAAAACTTGAGAGTGACATTTGTAGCAGTCCATGTTTTGTAGGCACACAACAGAGTTGAGCAGACAATGGCTTCATAATAACACATCTTGGTATCTCTATGAATGTACAGAACCTTGGACACTCTTGCTTCATTCGAAAAAATGTTACGCTCAAGAGCTCAGATGGTGTTTTATTTCAGCATTGATGTCAACTTTTGTGGAGAGGTAGCTGCCTAAGTTACAGAAATGGTCAGCATTTTCTGGTGTTACATCATTAAGCTTTATTGCTGACATTGCAAAGGGATTGGTTGATGCCTTCTAGTAGAGTGCTTTGGTTTTCTCGATATTCATTGAGAGGCCAAGCTTTTCATATGCTTCTTCAAAGGTGTTTAAAGTTGCTTGTAGGTCTTCCTCTGAATGAGTATAGTATCATCAGCATATTGCAGCTACATATTAATTGCAGTGATAAGAATGTACTTAAAAATAAACGTATTATGACATAAGATACAGGAGATTAACATAGATACTCTTCTTGAAATATAACCATCACAATTTGTTTTCATTGCTAAGCATGTATAATAACTAAATGTTGAAGGAAGATCTTGTATTTTGAAGTATTCTTTTCAGTTTAACATTTTATCTGTATAACTAATAGCTACGTATGTGCCTTCCCAACTTTTGATTTCATGTTTCTTCCATGTTTCGAGCAGTCTTAAATGGTTAATATTGACATTAAAAGCAGAAGAGACAACCATGTGCATGTATCTCCCATGACTCACCTCTGTCTTTAAGATTCACAGTATGATTCCCTTATCCATTTTCTATCTGTCACAAGATCTCACCTGCTTGAGTGCCTTTTTAATGCTGGAATGGAGAGGAAAAGTCAGGGCTATTCATATATGAGTGGGGAATGGGCAAAGCAACCCATTAATGTGTAATGCAAAGGAATAAAAGGTTTATTTTCATCCTCGTGCCAGATGAACACATAGCACATGACACCGCATAGGTTATCCGCTTCCCCCAAAGTCAGGATATGGCAATTCTATGAACTGTAGTGTTGTCACAGTGAGGAGAGAGCAATTGGTAACTCAGGCATTTGTTTTG